CACATGGGCGGCAAGCCACTCCCACAAAGGAGGCCACACCCACAAAGTAGGTTCGAACAATTTTTGAAACCCACCACTGTCCCTTTCCCAACTAAAGGGACTTCAAGATCTTTACAGGTAGTAACAGCATTAAAGCCACAGGTAGCACCAACATCAAAATAAACAGGCACCGTCCTATTTTCCCCATCTGTTTTCAGTTTTCAAGCCTTCCGCTGCATGCCAGGAGTCTGATTTGTTTAAACGTTGGGTCATCGCACTCATAACATGGCATTACTTACGCTCGTTCTGCTTCCCGCTTTAATCGAACGCATAAACAGTTTTAATTCCTCCGGGTGACGCCATTCCTGGAATTTGGTTGCAAGGCTCTCCCTGGCTCTACCTGGAGTCCCTCCCCCCACCCAAGCCAGTAAAACGTCTCCTTTAACTGGGATGGTTAGTCACAGCTCCCTGCCGATCAAACCCAAGGATCCCCATGGCGAGTCCCATTTTCCACGGTGGATTTTACACCGTGCAAGAGGCATAAATTCCATCTGTACGTGCACGCTCCATTTATGAGATGTGCGCCGTCTTACGGATGCTTGCTATTTTGAGTGCTCGCGCTGGTCCCCGGCTGTGGCTGTGTTTTTGTCTCCAAATTAGATAATTTGCAAAACCTTTTTACGAAGCCACCTGTCCTGACCTCGGCTTCCCCAAAAAGCACGAGGCGGAGTCCTGGTGCCGACAAAACCCCTTTTATTAAATGAACGTGAATTCCTCTCCTTCACATTCAGCAAGGCTTGGCAAGCAGTGCTTCAAAGGAATATTTAGGACCACAGACCTTATCTATCTTGGAAAGCTGCCATGTTAAACCATTTTCCCAAAATGAGGTGCTGTGCAAGGAAAGACACAGGGCACAGAGTCTCTGTGCAAGGGCACAGAGTCTCTGAGATTCACGGACAGATCTTCAGACTCCTGAAATTCTGCCCTTATTAGAGAGATTGCCCGGGAGGGCAGACAATTTTTATCTAGGCTTTCTCCTCTAGGACACTAACCCGGTTACCACGTATGCAGTGGAAAAGTTCTGTGCNTCCCGACTAGGGGGTGGTGCTCATCTCTGTTTCAAAGCTGGAGAGCCAGCACTGTCCGAAGATGTCTCCGTGGTCATGTGGCCAGCATGACTAAACGCTGAAGGTGCACGGAAGACTGTTACCTTCCCAACAAAGGTGGTTCCTATTTTTCTACTTGCATTTTTACGTGCTTTCGAACAGCTTGGTTGGCAGAAGCTGGGACAAGTAATGGGAGCTCACTCTGTTATGAGGCGCTAGGGATTCGAACCGCCAAAGTGCTGACCTTTCTGGTCGACAAGCTCAGTGTCTGAACCCCTGAGCCACTGCATCCCTCTAATAATCAGTAGAGGCTGGCAAATAATTTTGGAATTCATAAAACCTTGAGAGGGTCTTGGGAGACCCCAGAGATCCTCAGACCATCCTGTGTTAAAAGCATCATTGGCAATTCCAGACTCCTCTAACAAGCTCTCAAAATGTTTCTGTTATTTAAGCAGGCATCATGGTGCGCATGAATGTTCTGGCCGATGCTCTTAAAAGCATCAACAATGCAGAGAAACGTGGAAAGCGTCAGGTTCTCATCAGGCCGTGCTCCAAAGTAATTGTCCGGTTCTTAACCGTGATGATGAAACACGGTAAGTACCAGCATGTACATAACTCATGTGTTACATTTGGGAAAATACTCACCCCTGTATGTTGTATGGAGCTGTGCTCCCAACCTTCGTGTTTGGGAAGACCCAATTAAAAAAATATTGGAAGATGGAGCTTGTTAAATGACTTGCTCCCAAGTTTACAACTGCTTTTGCCCCAGCTGTTAATCGAATCATAGGGTGGGTGCTTAAGCGAATCTGGCTTCCCTCGAGGATGGAACCGTTGCAAATACCTGCCAGTTGCCAAGCATCTGAATTTTGATCACGGGATGCTGCAGTGGTCATAAGCGAAGACGAAATTGTAAACCAGGTTTTTCCCCCCAGCGCCTGTGTAACTTCGAACCGTTGTTAAAGTGAGTGGCTTTAAGTCAATACTGTATTGGTATCTGAATGTAGGTCATTAATTTCTGGTAATCTTTTATGAGGTCGTACAAGCAGGAATTTGAACTCAGAATAGAATAGAGCCGGAAGGAACCTTGGAGGTCTTCTAGTCCAGCCCCCTGCTCAAGCAGGAGAACCTATACTATTTAACTGGCTGTCTAGCTTCTTAAAAACCTCCAGTGATTTCTGTTGGCAAGCTGTTCAATTGGTTAATTGTCCTCACTGTTAAGAAGTTTGAAGTTTCATTTTATTTATATGCCGCCCTATTCCCTAAAAGGGACTCAGGGCGGCGAACAACTCCAA